CTGTGCTTATGTGGTGGCCTTGTTCCAAAACTCAAGAAAAATGGAATCAAACCTTTGAAATGCTCCCCTACATCAGTATCTGTAGGATTCTCACTTCCTTCTTAGAAAGTGATGGATAGAAGGCAGATACTCATGGTTACTAAAATAGTTGCTTCAGTGAGAACACATGGACACAGAAAAGGGAACAACACACACTGGGGCCTATGGGGAGTGTGGAGGTATGGATAGCATCAGGATAAATAGCTAATGCATGCAGAGCTTAATATCTTGGTGATGGGCTGACAGGTGCAGCAAACCACCATGACCTAGGTAACAAACTGGCACATGCTGCACATATACAGTGAAACTTAAAATAAAATTAAATTAAGAATAGTTGCTTCACCTTCTTAACAACAGCAACAGCAACAGGGAGAAAAAAGATTGTCTTTAACATCTGTATTCGATTTTATAGCTGATATTAACATTGGTGAGATTGAAGCTTTGAATTCTTTTTTGAAGGATTAAAATTCACATTGAAAATGGTGTGAAATCTCTAGTAAGGTATGCGGGTTGAAAAGGATGAAAATCACAAACAGGTGCTGAGATGGACTCTGTTGCCTGTGGAGTAGCTGGGTTGATCTGCAATTAAGAAACAGTTTGATTCACTTGCAGTAAGATTCATTCACCATGTGTCTAAGCATTCTGCTATCTGTCTCCAGTAGGATTAGTAAATGTAGAATTCCCCTGAATCTGTGAAAATAAATTCCTCCTTTTCTTAACTACCAAGGTGTTCTGCCATGGCTGATATCCTGCCAGTGGAAATGGAGTGCAGATATACTCTCTGAGAAGGATTTGGTTAAAGGCTTGGTCAGCTCACAGTCAGAACTTCCTAAGAGTAGCAGGTGAACTGGACCTGTCCTCATAAGTTACTACCATATTCTCTTTTCTCCCCAAGTGTGGACTCAGCTATGTGAACATGATGACTGGGTAAGAAGGGTATAAAATGGGGGCAGAATTTCAGAGTTCTACTTATTAAATCTGTCCTGGAATGTCTCCCAAGACAAACCAAAAGACCAAGAATAAAGTAACATACAAAAATAACTGGTTGTACCTGGTATTCCAGTCATGGGCTCTTCAGAATAAACAGTAGTGACATGTATGAGAAGTCAGAGAATAAATTTCTTTTTTAAAGGGTAAAACCTCCAAGGAAATTGCTCTTCACTTTAAAAATCAAAGAACCTCCCTGTGTTGATATGTGTCACAGTCAGCATCATCTCTAAAAAGGAAGGTGTGGAAACAGGTGGGGCCAGGACACTAGCAAAAAGGACCAGATTAATTTGGGCCATGAAGCTGCTGCTTGCTTGTTTATTCAAACATGAGAATTTCTCTAACGACCCGATGGATTATAAAGGAAAACAGACATAATCTAACATTTAACATCTATTCTATACTGAGAAGTGAGAATCCTACAGATACTGATGTAGGGTAGCATTTCAAAGGGAGTATGTTCTGCCAAGTAAAAACTAGTGGATTAGCAAAAATTTAAAGTCATACAAGCAGCCTCACTTTAATAGGACCTTTGAACATCAATACAGAATAATTTCTGGATTTCCCCATCTATTATACAATCTGCAATCCCACTATGCATTTAGACCAGTGCTGGAATATAGTTAGCTCTTATCTGTAGATATAAGAATCAGATTATTTAGAAATTGACTTCTGTAGGAATTTCCAAGTCTTCTTTTCAGAAAAAAATCTCAGATATCCCCCAAACTACTGAAGTTTGTGTTGGGGGATGACCATTTGGGAAAGTGGAAGACAGAAAAAAAAATAAAGGCTTAAGTTTAAAAAGTGGGTAGAAATAGGGCCAATGCTAGTTCATGAAACTTGTTAATACCTTTTTCTTGTGTTTAGAATAAATAGAGTCTTGGAAGGGGTCTATGCAGAAGGAGGACCTCAGAGTTCAAGCTTTATTTGTTTCATGGACCATTTACATCTGACAAAAAGCAACATGTCAATCTTGTTTGGATGCTCATTTAAATAAGCCTTCAACTGTTCAACAAAATGTAAGAAAGATGTGTTTCAGATAATCAGGGAAAACTGAGTATCGACTAGCTTTTGCTAAAAAATAAAGTTAGAGAAAAATGAAAGATACCTTCAAACTCTTTATGTATTTTATTATAATATTGTGTTTCTATGTCTGCTGACTAAAAAGCATAAAGGTTTTTTTGTTTGTTTGTTTGTTTGTTTGTTTGTTTTTTATTTTTAGAAGGAGTGTTGCTCTTTTTCCAAGGCTGGAGTGCAGTGGAGCAATGTTGGCTCACTGCAGACTCTCCCTCTTTAGTTCAAGCAATTCTCCTACCTCAGTCTCCCAAGTAGCTGGGATTACAGGCATGCACCACAACACACAGCTAGTTTTTGTATTTCTAGTAGAGATGAGGTTTCGTCATGTTAGCGAGGCTGGCCTAGAACTCCTGACCTCAAGTGATCCGCCCGCCTCAACCTCCTAAATTGCTGAGATTACAGGCATGAGGCACCAAGCCCCACCATGATTTTCTTACAATACAGAGAGATTTGCTTTGGTGGTTCTAAAGATGGATAAGTAATAGACTTGAAACCTTGTACATTTTGTTATAGAAAACTATATTTGTCAGCTTATTAAAATATAAAATATTATTTGTCAATTAAAATTGTTTCCAGGGTTGCAAAGACAGGTTCAGTTTACTCAATAAACTTGTGGAGCTGTTGGCCGGTTAGCTTAGCTGGTTAGAGCGTGGGGCTAATAAACTTGTGGAAATAGCCATTTGATTATGAACTCACGGTCTTGTTATTTTTATGCAGCCAATGAAGAAAAGATAGCAAATGCTTCTGTTGAAATTAGGAATGTAGATAATAACAATCTGCCTTGTAAAGTAACTTAAATAAATATAAAATGAAAGAGAAAACAAATAAACAAAAGGTCTATTTGTAGACTCTGTTTTAAACTGTAATAGGAATGTGTTTCTTTATCCTTAGGGTATTGAAATGCACAGTGCATTGAACACACGGACTGATTTCTGCTCTTCCCAATGTCCCAATAAACTTGTGATGAAGAAACAAAAAAGAAATTAATACCCAAGAACAAGGAAAATGAAAGAGAAATTACATTAAACCACAAATTTAGATAAAATTGTGGAATTGGAATGATGAATTGAAAATTAACAGAGTTTATGAATCAGCAAAACCAAACCCAGACGGGAAGAGAAAACAGTGGTGCAATCAACGTACACGTGAATACCTGGAAAATTGGCTCTATTTTAACGCTGTATTTTCCTATCTGGAAATTTACATGTATTCAGATTGACAAATTAAACTGTGAGGCAGTGTATAATCTGCATCAAAGTTTGATCATTCTTCAACTGAATCCTGTGCAGTTCTTGTTATTTGATGCTAGGAATTTAAACTGTTTCAATAAATAAGGTAATTCTCGCTCGCTCTCTTTTACTCTCCCTCACCTCCCACCTCCACCGTATTTCCTAACTATGCTGATACCTATTAAATGTACGGCTTTGTGAAAGTCACCCAATCATATTAAGATACTATTTTTTCCTCTGAAAAGTTATCAATGCAAAAAAATCCTCAAAACTATTGTAAGGACTAAAAGGACTAAGGCATCTGAAATATTGCCATGATCAGTAGAAAAGAATGATAAATGAATTTTTTGATATGTAGTTATGCATGTAAAGAAATAATATGATACAGATAGTGATTTGATCACTGAAAAAAACTTGGTTTTTCCAAATTTTAGAGGGACAATTAGGTATGCAATCATTTTAAAAACAAATTTTAGATCTCTGTTTCACAGCATGGGCTTCCTCAAAGCCTGTGGCAGATTCTATAAAGAACGAGCTAGAGTTGCATGGCATTTTTATGATATAGACTCAAAAGTCACAAAATATCACTTCTGACATACGCTATTGGTCATGGCAGGGGTTCAATCCGGTGAAGTCACACCTCACCCCTTCAAGAGAGGATGTCAAAGTCCCACTGTAGGAATAAAACGTTAAATGAAGGATACTGTTTGACCATCCTTGGAAAATGCAATGTGCCACACCTCCCAATTTCCACAATGCTAAATATGCACAAATGTTTATTTTGAAATCAAAAAATATGGTAATAATTTATGGTTCTTTTCTTTTCTTTCTTCCTTTTTTTTTTTTTGGACGGACAGTCTCGCTCTATCGCCCAGGCTGGAGTGCAGTGGATCTGCTTTCTGTCACTATAGATTAATTTCCATATTCTAGAATGGTGTGTAAATGGAATCATACATCATTGTGTCTTCTCTGTGCCCACAGATGCCTGTTTCTTCCTATTCTTATAGAGACACCTGTCCTATTGTATTAGGGCCTCACTGTATGGCCTAATTTAACCTTAACTGCCTACTTAAAAGTCTTATATCCAAATATAGTCACATTGAGATTGTAGGCTTCAACACATGGATTTTGGAGACAAACAAGTCAGTCCATAACACTCTTTCTGAAGCAGATTGGTTAGTAGCATTTTCAGTAAGGAGGTATGCTTAGTAAACAGCCCGTGTCTTTTTTTAAGGGGAGAGGGGAATGTTATTATTTAATTCAAATCCCAGAACAAATTTTTAGCAAAGAATTCAGGATTATAGTTACATTTCTTAGCCTTTGAAAAAATGAATCATCTTCTGGCATACAATTCTTTGACACAATTTTTCTTGTTATTCAAACTGGGATTATTTTCCCCTTTTGGAGATTACCTCTCATTACCTTGCCTACTTTCTGAATTCCAATTTGCCTCTAAGGTTGTAATTTTCTCTCTCTCTCTGTCTCTCTCTCTCTCTCTCTCTCTGTGTGTGTGTGTGTGTGTATGAATACATATATTGTATTTTATTAAATCTAGAATGCATAGACTAGAAGATATATCATTGTTTTGTGTACCACCATTAACAAGTATTATTTTAATTGGTCAGAGGAGAGCGAAAGTATGATCATCTTAATAAACAGCAAAAATAATTGATAGTTTTTAACAGAGATTTTATTATAATACTACACACAGGAATGTAGGAAACAAATATTCTCCCTGAAGATTATTTTTAAAAGAATTTATCTCAAAGCTAGAGTCAGTATTATGTTTACTGTTAAAACACTAGAAAACACTCCATTTGCAAAGATAGTAGTTACGATCACAATTACTTAACACTTTGAATGTTCAAACCATTTCATTATGCAACTGATCCCCAAAAAAAGAATTACAAGTAGTGAAATGGAAAAGTAAAATAATCATTATGAATCACTATATGCAGATGATATAATTTTCTATCTGCAAAGACAAGAGAATGAGCAAAGCAAATGTGATAATTTAGTAAGGCAGCTGACTTCTAATTCAACAAACAAAGCAAATTACTTTTTTGCATACATGTTAATCAGGTACTAAATATTATACAAAAATTAAAAACATTTAATATAGGTACTAAAATTCCATATTCTTTTATGTACTTTATCTACCAGATTGAGATGTAAGGTTAAGCAGTCTATTTTTAGTAACTGTGTCACATACATACATACACATGTATCTTATACATTATAGGTTTCTCATTTAAAAATCTCAAAAAACATTAATGATTGATACAAAACCTATATTATCTGTTTGTATAAGAACTCTTTATAGTATTCACATTCTTCTTTGTATGGTAATATACATACTTTCATATATCCTAATTTGTGATATGTTTGGATGGTGTTGATTCCAAACATACCTTTGTAAAATTCACAAAGTTATACACAATGAAACAATCTTGAGGAAGTATAAATTTATATAATATACAAGAATTTCTTATGAACTATTTTTTTCTAACATATTCAAGATGATTCCCTAAATTCTTTGTGACCTGAGGGCTCCCCATCTTTAAACCTGTACCTCAGCCACCATAGCACTGACAGAGAGGCCTGTCTCAGCTTCTTGTTTCCAAGAATCAGAACACATGAGTGACCTGAAGGATAAGCCAGTCCCATCATCTCAGAAAGAATAATAATTTGATTTTCCTTCATCCGTTCAGTGATCCAAATTGACATGAAAAAAGTCAGAAAGAAAATGGCATAGAGTAGGAGGAAAGTGATCACAGTTTGCATAACTCCTCTGTGGGCCTTGGTGCTGACGTCTCTGTATCCTTTGACAGTGTGCTGCATCTTCTTGCGATGTTTCCACAGGGAGAAGGTGAGCAGAAGAAAAGTTGCCAGGGACAAAGTAAAGGGAATTAAAATGAACACAGTGCTGGTTAATGCAATAGCATTGGAAAATCGTATAAAGTTACATGAAGCAGAACTGCAAGTCATGTTTCCTCTGTATCCATTGATATTGGCATTTATATGAATGTTTATCAGTAAAATATTTAAAAACAAGAGGACCAAAGTCACAAGAAGCAGCACTAAAACCACCTTTTTAACTCTCCACTTTAGGTAGAGAAAAATAGAGTTAGAAAAATTGGCTATCTTGAGAAAATAAAAAGTACCTAGGATTGTAGCTAACCAGACACTAAAATGATTGGTCACTGTCCAGATATTAGAAAGCATTCTTAACAGTTTTTCAGTGGCAAATAAAGCTGGGAAAAACACAGATACACACCAGCTTCCAAATATTGACCAAACCAGACTAACTCTAGAGATTGCCAAAGCAATGAGAATCTGATCAACTAAAGAGATATTTCTTCTCTTGACCCAGTCAATGCAGTTCACCAGTACTATGAAACTATTTCCTAAATTTCCAATTATAAATTCCACAATTAAAATGAATGTAAATATGCTCTTTATGACACCATCCATTGCCTGTAAGAGAATGCCCCAATGTCTAATATCACTGCTGAAGACTTCTTAATGCATTCATCTAAAATGCTATGTATATCTGATTCTTGAAAATTCAATAATATATTCCCTTTAAAAAGGGAATGTTAAACCAGCAAACATCCAGATTTGCTAATGGCTGGGTTTAAAGCTCTCGTCATAAAAATCTCTGTATTTCCCCAGACAACTCAGCTGAGCTTCATCCAGATGCCGTGTGCCTCACACACAGTAGGCTGAAGTCTTTTGTAGCTGGTGAGAAAGGAAACACTGAATTCTCATTTGCAAACATGCAAATAAAGACATATTTATTTTCATTGGTTTGTGTTTTTTTTTTTTTTTTTTTGTCTTATCTACATACTTCAGTCTGTCAAATTGAGTTCTGGGGAAGTATCTTTACAAAAATTGGTATATGAAACTTTCTAAGCACTGAGGATTTTTACATCAGAGTTTGGGTGGATAAAAATGGGGAGATGATGGTTAAAGTGTACAGAGCCTCAATTAGACCAAAGGAATAAGTTTTGTTTTGCTTTTTTGAGATCTATTGAATAGCATTGTGAATATGGTTAATATTAGTGTATTGTACATTACAAAATTGCTGAAAAAGTAACTTTCAAATGTTTTGTTATCATAAAAAAGTTACCTGACATTTGTTATGTTAATATATTATCATTTGAATATGTTAATTAGTTTCATTTAATTATTCCATATAGTATTCATAAATCATAACAACACCTGATACCTCATAAATGTATGCAAGTAAAATATGTCAATTTACTATAAAAATAAAGAAAGAAAAAATCGGATGGCTTTTTAAAGTTAAGTCTGTAAAGAGACTTATTCATAGTTATCCAAAGCTCCTCCTACAAAGTGGCAGAGTTTTCTAATAATCTTGTTGAAGACATTATCCCTAGAATGCTGGGTACCAAGAATAATACTTTTCTATTATTTTACTTTTTACAAGTACATGAACACCAAACATGTGCGCACACATGTGCACGTGCGCGCACACACACACATACATTTATTTGGGATCTAAATCTTTTTCTCTCTTCACTTTAGTAATTCAGGCTTTTTATTTTCAGCATTTATTATGCATCTAGTTCATGTTTAGTACTGTGATAGTTTTTTTTTGTTTTTTGTTTTTTGAGACGGAGTCTCACTCTGTTGCCCAGGCTGGAGTGCAGTGGCCAGATCTCAGCTCACTGCAAGCTCTGCCTCCCGGGTTTACGCCATTCTCCTGCCTCAGCCTCCCAAGCAGCTGGGACTACAGGCGCCCGCCACCTCGCCCGGCTAGTTTTTTTTGTATTTCTTAGTAGAGACGTTTTCCACCGTGTTAGCCAGGATGGTCTCGATCTCCTGACCTCGTGATCCGCCCGTCTCGGCCTCCCAAAGTGCTGGGATTACAGGCTTGAGCCACCGCGCCCAGCAGTACTGTGACAGTTTTAAACACATTTAAAAAGACTTGCAAGTTTATATTAAATAGTATTAAACGTAAATATTCTGGAGACTTTGGAAATATTTTTTCTGTACATGTGGGAAGGGGTGGAAATCTGCCTGTTGTCTCATAAAGCAGTCACTGTGTTTGAATGAGTTCATCCACATAGCAAGAATCCTTATTCTGTGCCTCTCCCCTGCCCAGTAGGGCACATTGCTTCATCAGCACCTAATACCTTCAGATCTTTTTCACATGTACTCACTCTCCCAGCAAGCTTGCTCCATGATCCTCACTACAGGGACCAATGTAGATAAAGGATGACATACTGTCTAGCCAAGATGGGGAAATCAGCAACCTGATACAGTCATTCTTCTTCAATAGCTAAAAAAGTAAGTAAAATGAGCAAAGCACCAATGAAACAAATTCAGCAACAACTACCGAAGAAAGTAGAAAAATACGCCTCATAAACGTCAAAGATGACAGAGAAAGAAGTAAGGTGTTCCACTGTGAAGAACTGATGCCTCACCTTCAGTCCCCTGAAGCAATGCTGAGCAAAAATAAAATAAAATAAAACCAAAATATCTTGAAAACTACTGTATATTTAGTCAAGAGCGCTATTGAAAAGGCAAACTCAGCTATCATGGGCAAATATTAAGGAAAAAATCCCAAGGCTAGAAGTACAAACATACTATCCATGTAGAGACAAGAAGGTTACCCTAGCCTTGCCATATCCAGGTAATAAAGATGAGGTTGGGAAAAAAGACAAAGGGAAAGACAAACTACCATGGTGGGTGGGGGTTGTGTGGTGGGTTCTGCTGAGACTTCATGGATACTTTGAAAAGAGAGCAGAGTTCAAGTCTCCAGTGACAGCTACAAGAATCCCAGAGGGTCTCACCCAAAAGCCCTCAGCACTTGCATCATTCATGCTGGGTTGAAAACACTAGGTTTTCATTGGAACAACAGCTCTTAAGGAAAGGCAATCTTGTTCAGAAAAAGAGTGGTAAAAATAATAATTCCGACACACTACATCCAGAAATTAGAATAACAAGTCAGTTCCTCAGAGAAGAGCAGTGTCTTAATACATTTCAGTGTCGAAGTTACATTTAGGTATATACAGAACCGATTAATGTGTTTCATTTTAACTTTTTTATGCATCAAAATTTCTGTGCTAACTGTATCAAATGCAGAGTAGAAACTCGGTTGAACAACCATCATCCTGTCCACATATTTCTCTACTGAGATTATTATATCTATAATGAAAATTCCCCATGTGTCAATCAACACCTATATTGCTGATTTTTCTTCTCACTTTATTTTTTATTTTTAAATTTATTTTGGGAGTGCATGAGATAATTTATTACTTTTAAATGGCAAAAACTGCAATTACTTTTGCACCAACCTTGTATATTAACAAAATTCATAAATATCAAATCCATGTAATTCAGATATCCTTTTTCTTAAACATTTCTCTCTCCTTTACATTACAAACATTTGAATAATTCCAGCTATTTTTAAATACATTACTGTAAACTGTAGTCACCCTACAGATCTACCAAACACTAGGTCTTATGTCTTTTATTAAACTTTACATTTGTACCCCTTAATGAGTCTCTCCACATACCCTTCCCCCTTATCCTTCCTGGCCTATATTGCTTTTAAATTTTAGATGCCAGGTCACTGTGACTCTCATTTAGCAGAGATTAAGGTAAAAATATTGAAACTTCCTTCATCTACCTAGCTTTTTGGTAGTATTCCTTTTTTTTTTTTTTTTTTTTTTGAGGCGGAGTCTCGCTCTGTCGCCCAGGCTGGAGGGCAGTGGCGCGATCTCTGCTCACCGCAAGCTCCGCCTCCCGGATTCACGCCGTTCTCCTGCCTCAGCCTCCCGAGTAGCTGGGACTATATGCGCCGGCCATCATGGCGGCTAATTTTTTTGTATTTTTAGTAGAGACGGATTTCACCGTGTTAGTCAGGATGATCTCAATCTCCTGACCTCGTGATCCACCTGCCTCAGCCTCTCAAAGTGCTGGGATTACAGGCGTGAGCCACCGCGCCCGACCGGTAGTATTCCTTTTAAATGTAACTTTGACTACTCAAGAAAAAAAACTTTACATAATGTGATCTATGTCAATATATATAAGTGGATAAAAATATACATATAGTCACCAATCTGACTAGCATACAATGCCATATCATCTCACACCAGTCAGAATGGCAAGTATTAAAAGGTCAAGATACAACAGATGCTGGCGAGGCTGTGGAGAAATAGGAATGCTTTTACACTGTTGGTGGGAATGCAAATTAGTTCTACCATTATGGAAGACAGTGTGGGGATTCCCTAAGGATCTAGAACCAGAAATACAATTTGACCCATCAAACCCATTACTGTGTATATACCCAAAGAAATATAAATCATTCTGTTATAAAGATACATGCACATGTATGTTTATCGCAACACTATTCACAATATCAGAGACATGGAATCAACCCAAGTGCCCTTCAATGATAGACTGGATAAAGAAAATATGGTACATATACACCATAGAATACTATGCAGCCATAAAAAGGAATAAGATCACGTCCTTTGCAGGGACATGGATGAAGCTGGAAGCCATGATCCTCAGCAAACTAACATAGGAACAGAAAACCAAAGACCGCATGTTCTCACTCATAAGTGGGAGCTGAACAATGAGAACTCCTGAACACAGGGAGGGGAACAACGTACACTGGGACCTGTCGGTAGTTGGAGGGAGAACATCAGGATACAAAGCTAAAGCATGCGAGGCTTAATACCTAGTGGATAGGGTGATAGGTGCAGCAAATGACCATTGGCACATGTATACCTACGTAACAAACCTGCACCTTCTGCACATGTATCCCAGAACTTAAGATTAAAATATATGTATATTTTATATATATAAACATTAACTGACCAGAGTATAGCTGCTGGTAAATACAGTAAGAACAATACCACTGCGTCACTGTTTTATGTCAGGGCTATGTCACATCTACTGTTAGTTTAATTGATATTTTGCAAAACGTCATGCTAGTTCAATATATTAATTATATTACACTAAGTAGTACCCATTAGCAGAAAGTAGGAAGTTCCCTAAACATAGTAAAATACTGTAACAATGAACAGAAATAAAATATCAGAAGAAGAGAGATAAACCTCAGCAGATTCAGGAACCTAAAACACCGGTGATGCTTTTAGGGGTACAGTGGTCCTGGTCCACATATCAAGACATCATTTTTAAAGTAAATGGAATGTTTCTCTATATATACTTATCACTAAAGAAGAGGGACAGTATTTTGGGGGCCTATTTGGATTTGGGAGGCAACATAGACCACATTTGAGGATATTGCTCTGATGTACTGACAGAATTTTCTTAAGGGCTACTGGTCTCAAATGAAACCCAGAACAAAAGAGGGCTCTACAACAGATATAGGCTCTGGCCCAAGCTCCTCTGCCCATTGTGCCAGATGAGTCAGCAGAATCCAAAGCTGCTAGAGGTATGCATAGTGGGCATCATAGCACTCTGTACATATCTCTGTTAAGCTCATAGAAGAGAGGAGAGCAAACTCCTAGGGAATTACAGTAAGACCATCCCCTCTTCAGCAGAGGAGTGCCCTCTGTCTCTAAAACAAAAACAGCAGGTGCAGAACATTAATCCAAGCATAGAGCCCCTCTAAGTACAAGCTGCTCTAAGCATAAGACCTTGTGCAACTGCACGTGCCATATGATTGTAAAGCCAGCCATGACCGGAGGACATGAGCACATCTGAATGGCACAAGGAGTGAAGGAGAACCGTCCCCCGTTCCCCCGGTCAGTACCTTTCTTGACCCAGATCATCCTTCCATTTGGGACTTGAATGGATCACCACACTGTGGGCATGAGGTCTGACTTTCATAACCTCCACCTAGGGACTGGATGATGGAAGGCAGAATAGCAGAGATGGTAGTTTTACCTTAGGGAAACCCTGGTCAAGGGGAAATAGAAGACAGATGACAGCTGAGCAGATACATTCGACCTACTCTTTCTCTTCCATGGAATAATGCTGGCTGTAGTTTCCCCTTGCAGCCCTTCTGGAAAGTACTGGGAGCCAAGTGCACACATCTGATGACCACCATGCTATCTCTCTCACCTCACTGTGAAGTGGACACCAGCAGTGTCATAACATACATCACCATACGTAGGTTCACATCTGCTCTTGCCTCAATTTCCACATGTCCTTACTATTGCTGTCCTGGACTTACCTTCCAATTAAATATCATCACTTTAATATCAGACATTGGCTCTAGTTCTAGAAACAAAACCTGAGGTTAAGATATTCATTCAGTTCTATAATTATAATTCATTCACATTTTTGTGAGTCTATAATATGGCAATTAAAGTATTCATTTAGAAAGGATACTAAAACTATATGCAAATAACATTGTAGTAAGATGTTTGGTAATTGAATTTTCTAAAATCAAACATCATTACTGTTTACACAACAACCAGCTAGAAAATATCATAATACACACATATCATTCACAATAAAAATACATGCATATATACAAAAATCTTTAATATGCTTTCTAAAACGTACTGTAATAGGTGCCATCTGATTTTCATGTTCTACCTTGTCTCCACGTCATACATCTGATATAGCTTCATCAAGTCTATATTATGGTGCTATTTCCCCTAAAATTGTGGAATAGC